GAAGAGGCGCCTCTTCGTGTGCCCAAAGTTACTATTTCGATACCTCTTCAAGAACAATCCGAATCTTACAAATCGTCGGGTCGGTAATATGTAATCGTAACATCCCTGTGAGATGCCTAAACTGCATGAAATTGTGTCTGATCATTGCAAGACATTGCATGGTCCTGTCTATGCATTCAATCGTGTTTGCGATTTTAAATGGAAGTCATGTGCATGGTGCATGTCGATGCCAATCTCTTCCACCCTCACCATCACGACTTTTCAGGGAGCGATGCAGAGTCCGATATTCTCTCACCAGACAGTTTGACTCGCTTTGACACACTTCGATCGCGGAAAGCATCTACGAGGAGCGCAATCTCAGCAGTCTCCAGCGTTAAAAGTATGCAGCTCGAAATGGAGGTATGTCGATTTTGCGAGGATCGTACAGTCTTGATCGGTGCGTATGAAGGGGCGTGTCAATGAGGCTCGATTTAGCGCGCCGCCCCTTCTCCACCAGTTGTCGAAGAAGGTGAACGACGAAGACCGGGGCAAAACGACTCATACGAACGACATGATACAGTCGCGTCGCTTCCAAAGGAAAGAAAAAAAACGTGTTGCCGCCGCGTCAACTCGAGACTCACCGACACGCCCCATCATCTCCAGCGCGGCGAACTAAACTGCTCGTCATTCTGGGCAAAACTGTGGTAGACCGCTACCCCAGCGGGGGCTCTAGGGTACATAGTCAGTGGAACAGGAAGCGCAGCGCCACACCCGGGAGTCACCTACTGTAAGGCACGTTCCGCGGCAAGCAGATTGGTGGAGAATCCCAACTGTAAGACGCTCCCTATTGGTGCTCCCCTCTTTCCAGTACGAGAAGCTGCAGGTCACTGAGAAAGCGATAGCGTCTCCCCCTTGAACCTCCGCCCATTTTTCCACCCATACGAGTAAGGTGGTGGCAAGTGCACGCTGTTCGCTGGGGATCTCCAGGGAAAGAGCGGGGCGTGTTTCATTGTTAGAGAGAGGGGGTCGTATTTACCTTAGAGGAAAATGTTTTTGGTTAGTGACTTTTCCTGGTTTTTGTGGTTCAGGCACATGTGCCCCTCCACCCGTTCCCATCTTCCCCTTCCCACCATACCCTCGCTCTAAGGAAATTTTTTTTGGTCTGTGAGAGGAGTGGATAAATTTTTGGAAGAAAACTCCGAAAAAGTGGTAGGAAGCTGAGAAATTCTTATGAGATGGTAGGTGATGGGTATGGGAGAGAGGGAGGTGGGTCGTAGCTGAGGTGAGGGGGGGGTGATTTCGTAAGTAGGGCGTTTTCAGCAGACAGAAGCCTTCCCCCAACAGCAAGACATGTCCTGACAGCTAGTACTCGATGGTTTAACTGAGCGTGTATGTCAGGGCACATGGTTGTTGGGAATCCTTAATCCTTAGGGCTCGTATTGGCGCGCCAAGAGGGGGGGTCGTATTTGAGCTGAGAAAAATTTATTTTGACAGTTGGTTTTTCTCGCTTCGTGGACGTTGTAAAAGGGGAGGGGGTCGTACTTGCTCATTGTTGGGAGAGGGGGGATTGTATTTATTTTCTGGCCTTTCTAGAAGTGATGGGAGTGGTGGTTGACTTTCCGTGATATAATTGTAATTTTCGACTCTGTTTCATGTGTATTATACCCCCACGTCACCCCCTTCCCCTCTGCTCGACAGCAAAATTTTTTGGGGGAAAGTGAAAAAGTAGGGAAGTTTTTGGAGTTTTTCGGAAAATTTTGGAAAAAGTGGCAGGAAGTTGGGGAAAATCTGAGGATGGTAGAAGGAGAGGGGGGTGTGGTGTACCAACCCCCTCCCCAAAATAAAGGGGGGGGGTGGTCGTACGGATTCGACTAAATCCCTAGCCAATGATGTGCCCTAGTGTAAGTGATCTAATGTTGACCTTCGGCGACAAGTTATAAACTTAGGCGAGCGGTTGCGACACGGTCGCCAGGTAGACTCAGCACAACCGCGCGCTTCTTGGCCTGTGTAGTAGTGCAAGTTTGGAGAGCGCTGATGCACTAAGCAATATTGATTAGCGTGAAGGCGTAGGTTCTCAAGTGTTAACTCACAGCGACGTAGGCGGCTGCGGCGCGGTCTCCAAGTCAACGCAACGCAAGCGCGCGCGTCTCTACCTGGCGTAAGTTGTGGCTCCAATGACAAATAGCAGATGTGCCTGTCAACTTTCGTGATTCAAGCACTATTTAGCGCTTACAAAGTGCCATGTCATGTCATACCGCGTCGATTTCCAGGACCTTCGTGCCAAACCGACCCCAATGTCCAAAGTGTTCTCTTTCAATCGCGACAAATGGGGATTTTTCGTCTTAGGACTCATCGCCTGTATCATTACCGGTACGGTAACACCGGTATTTGCACTTTTATATGCACAAATCATCCAGGTTCGTTCTGACAGGTATCGATTTATACTGGGTAGTGACTTTTACGCAGAAAATTCGCTATTGAGCGGCTTCTCAGTAGGAATAGTTTAGGTGTACTCAGAGCCTGTGGATCAAATGAAAGGCGACGTGTTGTTTTGGTGTGGAGCATTCATTGTTATTGGTATCATACATGCAACCGGATTCTTCTTCTCGGTCAGTCGTATTATTGATTAAATTTATTGATTTCCGAATGGAATTGCTTTGAACAACTAGTAATCGATCGATTTTATTGGTTCTTGCGGGCCTTCCTGCTGTATTTCTCTACAGGCTCTTCCGATGCTTTTTCTATTGAAGTCTAACGACCTGCCCACAGTCTTCTCAGCTCTAGGGCATTCCTTAGTAGTGGGGGGGGACCGAGGGCATTCAAAGGACGCGTCATGCAGAATTAGGAGTATTGTCATCCGACCTTGGCACCAGTCCTCGTCCTCACGACGGTAATAATTTTAAACAAGGAGTCCTTCGAATGCTCCTCCCCTCTTACACAAGGGCATTTGAGCAGTTTTCCTTCTTCTGATAATTTTTGATTCACTCTCTCGCTGTCTGTGCTCTTACTCCACTAGCTGTTTCTGTCTCGCCTTCCATATCTTCCCCGTCATTTTCTTCTCTCTTCACGCCCTTATTCTCTCTTGTCTTCAATATTCTATCGGGTTAATCTCTGTATCGCCTTCCAGCCCTTGTTTTTCCGGTTTTGAGTTGTCCTACCTTGGTCGTTTGACATTGAGCGCTAGGAGACAGGAAAGTTCGATATCGCCCATTATGGAGCGTTTTTTTTTTCGCTCGAACGCAGATGTGTTTACTTATCGATTAACTGATACATATAATGGACCGGCCCGGGACGTCCACCGCGACACGTTGGTCTTGGCCGCGTCTCCCAACGCCACATATCTAATACCTCTTTTCCTCGCTACTCCGCTGCTCTATATTCTTTGCGCGTTTCTGCCTCTGTGCGCTCTCCTTCCCTGTTTCAGTTTTTGGACACCTCGGCGACGGGGGGGGGGGAAGGGCGTTGTTGGCTCTTTACCGCTGCTCAGTCATTCGCGGCTCTTACAAAGCCTGCACTCTGGTTGACACGCTGTAACTCTTGTGCAGCTGGAAGCAAGGCCTTCGTCCTTAGACAGATTTAACCAGGTCGGGCAGCTTTTGCACACTAGTTAAATCTGTCACCTCTTGTAAGCCTATGAATAGCGCCTGTAGATGGGGTCTGATAACCTCGATGGGCAGTAGCAAAAAGTGGCAAAATGATCGGCCTCCGCCGACTCGGCTCTTCCCTCACTTCTTCCTCGCATCTTTTTCCTTTTAAACCACTCGCACGTTGTATTCTAACCAATGCACGTAACGACCACGAGACAAAGGCGACGTGTGCACGGCATTCGCACCAAAATCTAATTGCTTTGACGCGGATTTCGCAGCAGCACATATAGTCAAGAGCGCAGAAACGTTTGCGGTCATTATCCCTGCGAACGAAAGCGCTTATGACGGGGCGTGAATTAGAACGTGCCAAGGCATCTCTTTTCACCAACTGCTGCGGTCACAAGATGCCATCATTCTTGGAAAAGACATATCTATTACTCCGATCTCTTTCAGAGGGGAAGGCAATTACTGTATATAGCATCAAGCAGCCTGCCTTCTGGATTCGCTGTTTTCCTTTGCTTTGAGAATTCGCTGTTTTCGCTTGTTTTCAGTTTGCTTTATAATGTTGCTACGCTCTTATCGCTTCAGGCAATCTGTCTGGGACGTTGTGGCGAATCGTTGACGAAGAAGTTGCGTTTCGAAGCTTTCAAGAATCTTCTTCGACAAGATATTGGGTTCTATGACGATATCAGGCATGGCACTGGCAAACTCTGCACACGTTTCGCTACCGACGCACCGAATGTCCGATATGTGAGCAATATTGATTTTTGAAAAGCTGTGGATACTTGGAGCTAAGTCGCGCGTAAGTCGCACCAACGCAGGCAGGCTCAAAACCGCGCTATATCGCTGTGAACCAATACGTTACTTGTCCTCTCTTCGATACTAACAGATGCGACTCAATGGTGGCTAGGGGGGGGGAGCGCGGAAGCACATCTTTCCTCGTTGGGACACCCTCGCGTGAATGTATCACGAAAGAGACGAAACAATGAGAAAAACACTTTGTTTCTCTGTCCCCCCCCCCCCCCTCCCACTTAATTCTCGCGGAATGTGAGCGTCGCTTTGACTACTATGTCGTCCACTCTTCACCAAAATTTCGTAATTTTTCATTTCTAGAAAACCTTCTGAAACTTCCCTTTCAAGGTATTTACTCGACTCCCAGGCGTGATTTCGTCAGGGGTGACTATAATCGGAGCGCTGGTCATTGGATTCGTCTTTGGTTGGCAATTAGCTTTGATTCTTATGCTCATGGTGCCGCTAATCATCGGCAGTGGTTACTTCGAAATGCAAATGCAGGTGAGTAAAGTTAGCATTCGAGCCTCTCAAAAACTTTTGTTGGTCGATTGAGGCAGATATGTTTGTCAGGTCAATGAGTTTGCATCGGCTGGCTGGTCTTGGCTGGCAACAGAGACAGTACTGTGTTGCGGTAAATGTGCTAGAAGGCCCCGCCTAAGTTCCTCATCTGAATGATCCCTTACGCCCTTCTTCATTCACCTGACCTACCGTGTAGTTGACTCCAGTGCTACAAATTTCCACCATCAGAAATAGTGGTTGCATAGTGGTTCTACAGCGCTGCCAGCTAAGGGGGGGGGGGATTACAGCGCATGACATACGCGATAAGTTGCCTCCACATGGACGTATGCCGTCAGGGTTTGACCGGGAAAAAGAACTCTTACGTGATTTTTCCGCCCGAGGCTCATAGGGCAACAGTCTCTAACTGATTTTACACTATTCAGTACGGTAAGAAGATGCGTGACACGGAACTTCTGGAAGAAGCCGGCAAGGTAGCATCTCAAGCCGTGGAGAATATTCGTACTGTTCATGCTTTGAATCGACAAGAACAATTCCATTTTATGTATTGCGAATACCTGAAGGAACCTCATCGGTGAGACAATTCAATGTTGTTCTTTTTCTGGTATTGTCTGTTAATATCCTATCAGATGAGGCGGAGGTGGTGTAGCAGTGAGTGGCACGCCTACCACGCTCACTGTTCGGGGATCAAATATCAAATCGACTGCGTCCCCCCAACAACAGTCCCAGATTCGTCTCGGAGTGTAGAAACACTGACTTGTACATCTGCCGGCCCCACGGGTCAATAGGCCACATCGCATTCAGTAAGCTAGTAACATTCTGAATGGGAATGCAGTGCGTACTGCATCCAAAAAAGAGACTGACTACCGGCGAAGACTTTATCCTCCATCCTATCATCCCATCGGATGTAATCCGATGAATAGGCGTGCGTGCGTGCGTGCGTGCGTGCGTGCGTGCGTGCGTGCGTGCGTGCGTGCGTGCGTGCGTGCGTGCGTGCGTGCGTGCGTGCGTGCGTGCGTGCGTGCGTGCGTGCGTGCGTACAATGCACATTCTGGCTATGGAGTGAGCGTGGCTGCGGCTTTAATTGAAGGATGCGCTGTTTGGGGATAGCTATTTTTGATACAATTAGTGTCCATTCCTGTGAACAGAGTCATGGTTGCAAGTTTCTGAAACTGCAATATCCCTCCAGAAGCGCAGCTGCCGCCGCGTTAAAATGAAGTACGCAGCTAGGGACCACCAACCTCTGGGATATGGAGTGCACGTATGTGTGCGTCGCTTTATGTGTCACGGGACAATTGCCATCGCCTTTGTTCAGCACCAAACAGCATGACCGCTGTCACAGATGAAATTCCCACAGAAACGGGTGTTCGAATTAAAGTACGCAGCCACGCCCACCCATCTCCGGGATACGGAGTGTATGGGAAGTAAAAAGGGAATACTGCTGGCAGGTGACAGAAAGTGGAAACAGTTCATAAGATCTGACAAGAAGAGGGACTGGCGAGTGTAACAGAGTACGAGTTCTAACAGGTGATATGGAGGATGCGACGGTATCAGTAATGGTGGGTGGCAGAAGTGATAAACATAGTAGAGGCTGATAAGGAACGAGAAGTTTCAGTGACGGGGACGTAGATGACGGGTGAGAAGCAGTGATATCAGCTGAAAGGAATAAATAGGGGATTAGCATTATAAGTTCCAAAAAAATGTGGAGGGAGGAGGGAGGAAGTCGGGGTATATTACGCGTCTGAAATGGAGAAAATGAACAGATGCAAAACGTTTTTTTGGAAGCCAGATATGCCCTTGTTGTGTCAGAAGAGGCGATCCCCCCCCCCAAGCCAAACTGTACCTTTGTTTTCTTCGATTTTTCAGAATAGATCTATTTTTAGCTTTCTATGGAATTTCAGCTGCATACTCAGAGACTCATTGGCGGAGATGGTGTGGTGACAAGTGGGGCGCTCACCATTCGCGCGGTCCCGGGTTCAAATCCCGGGTCGACTCCCGCCCAGGCCAACCAAGCCTTCTACCCTCCGGGGACGGTGAATTGGTACCAGATTCGTCTGGGAGGATAAAACACTGACTTGTACATCGGCTGGCCACCGCAAGTCATTGTATAGGCCACATCGCATTCAATAACCCACTACGATTCTGAATGGAAGTAGAATGCGTGCCGCATCCCACAAAGGGATTGATCAACGGCGAAGACTTTATCCTTTATCCTTAATGGATTATTCAGATGGCGGACGTGGTTCAGGGGCCGCCTACACTCGCGCGGCGCCGGTGTTCGAATCGGCCACGTCGACACGCCGCCCGGCCAACCAAGCCTTTTCTTTACCCCATCGGGACGGTAAATTGGTACCAGATTCGTCTGGGAGGATAAAACACTGACTTGTACATCGGCTGGCCACCGCAAGTCATTGTATAGGCCACATCGCATTCAATAAGCCACTACGATTCTGAATGGAAGTAGAATGCGTGCCGCATCCCACGTAGGGATTGATCAACGGCGAAGACTTTATCCTTTATCCTTTCATGGATTTTCAGAGAGAATCTTTGCCAAGCGCACACATACGCCGGTGTATTCGCATTTTCACAATCGTTGATATTCTTCATGTATGCGGTGGCATTTTGGACTGGTTCAATCTTCGTGGACAACCACAATATGCAACCGACAGACGTCTATCGGTCAGTAATCGCCTTTTTTAGCTTTTTCAAGAGCTTCCAACAAAATTGAGCGAATACGCCTAGGACTTTAATCTTTGCCATATCTTTGGATTTCATTTAAAGCAATGAAGGCTTATTCGTAAAGATATTGCTGAAGGTATGAAGGCTTATCGTAAGAATGCTGAGATATGAGCAGGAGTCTTCGATCCAGGCGGGATTTGAAGCCGTACCTCACGCTTCAGCATTCTTGTGATGACCTTCAAAGTGCCAGCTGCGGCGGTAAACAACAGATATCGTAATAAAACAACTTCTGATACTAGAGAAAACTTCTGTTTTCCCAAGTTTCCCTTCTTTATGGACAGAATTTGACACGATCACTGCTCTTCCCACAGTTCTTCCATCTTTATGCGTGTTCCTGTTTCAGGGTATTTTTCGCGTTCATGTTCTGCGGTCAAATGGTCGGCAATATCTCTTCGTTTATCCCGGATGTGGTGAAAGCCCGCTGTGCAGCATCGTTACTGTTTTACCTTATCGAACATCCATCGGAGATCGACAATCTGTCTGAAGATGGTGTCAGAAAGGTAGGCCGAAGCTCAGTCCTCAATTCTTCGTGCTATGTATCATCCTGATTTCGTCTGGTATAGGCAGTGATTACGGTACCCATTGAGCTTCCGCAGGATCAGTTAGTTGTTTGGTTTCGAGCATCGCTCATTTGCTCAATACTGTTTTTTCTTGGGGGGGGGGGTGGCTCTGTTTTAAAGGCACGGTCCGCGATCAGGTATCGAAGTTGAAAATATGGCGTCAGGAGGTTAGAGTGGTCCGCGACGAACAACCTTGTACCGGTTTCGCGGCAAAAAATTCTATGGGAGGGGCGCTGTAGCGCAATATAGGTTCAGTGGCTCCTCCTT